TCAAAGACTTTAGTTCACAAATACACAACTGAATAGAACTTACGTATCTCCGATTTTATATCTACATTTGAGTGAGGTGGAAGGGGTGATGTGGCATTAACACAAGACAGAACAAAATGTGGTATTAATAGGTTTCGTAAAACATTAATTTCATCAACACAAGACAGAACAAGTTCAAACAGTATTAATAGGGTATTAATTTTGGATGAGGTGAAAACATCAACACAAGACAGAACACGAAACAATGGGTATATATTGAATAGAAGTGTTTGTAGAAAGCCTATTGGTCCATATTTCTTGATGCTTCTATATTGGAGCGGAGTCTTGAGGTGGGTAGAATATAGTTGTGCAATAATTGGCTGTTGATTGCTGGTGTTGACTTCTTGATGTGTAGTGCCTCGCAAACGTCAAGCCGCCTGCTATCGCTGTATCTATCGATGATTTCTGTGTTGTTTACTAGGATTTCTCTGGCGATGGTTTGGTTGTGGGAAGAGATTATATGTTCCTTAATGGAGCCCTGTTGCTTATGCATCGTTAAACGCCTAGAAAGAGATGTTGTCTTGCCTATATACTGGGTTTTTTGGAGCTTACAGTCCCCAAGTGGGCATTTGAAGGCATAGACGACGTTAGTCTCTTTTAAAGCGTTCTGTTTTGTGTCTGGAGAGTTTCTCATGAGTAGGCTGGCCGTTTTTCTGGTTTTATAGTAAATCGTCAGTTGTATCTTCTGATTTTTGTCTGTAGGGATAACGTTTCTATTAACAATATCTTTCAGGACCCTTTCCTCCGTTTTATGAGCTGTGGAAAAGAAGTTCCTGTAAAATAGTCTAATAGGGGGTATAGGTGTTGTGTTAGTTGTCTCTTCAGAGGTTGCATGGCTTTTCACTTTCCTTCTTATGATGTCTTCAACGAAACCATTGGAGAAGCCTTTGTTAACTAGGACCTGCCTTACCCTACAGAGTTCTTCGTCGACTTGCTTCCATTCTGAGCTGTGGCTGAGAGCACGGTCGACATATGCGTTAACAACACTCCTCTTGTACCTGTCTGGGCAGTCGCTGTTGGCATTTAGGCACATTCCTATGTTTGTTTCCTTAGTGTAGACTGCAGTGTGGAAACCTCCGCCCTTTTCCATGACTGTTACATCTAGAAAGGGCAGCTTCCCATCCTTTTCCATCTCGGAAGTGAAACGCAGCACGGAACTCTGCTCAAATGCCTCCTTCAGTTCCTGCAGATGTCTGACATCAGGTACCTGTGTAAAAATGTGATCGAAACTGTGAACGCCAAGAAATCCGGACTCCACCTGCCAAAGATCATTGGGGAATATAAACCTGGATATGCGTATGGAAATGTCAAGACACATAAGCCTGGAAACCTACTTCGGCCAATCATTAGCCAGATACCCACACCCACGTACAGACTGGCGAAGCGACTCAACGGCCTGCTGACTCCTTATGTTCCTTGCGCCTTCAGCCTGAAGTCTCCAAAGGAATTTGTTGACTTACTGCGGGCACACGGGCCACAGGGATAAGAGCCTCGTTGGACGTAGAATAGCTGTTTACCAACGTACCTGTGGACGAGACAATCGGAATGATAGCCGACAGAGTGTATCGTGATCCAGCCTGTACTCCTCTTGACATACCAGAAAATATTCTGAGGAAACTACTCCAAGCTTGTACTAAAGAGGCACCCTTCTTGAGCCCGGATGGGCACATGTATAAGCAAGTAGATGGGGTCGCCATGGGTTCTCCCCTAGGTGTCCTGTTTGCAAACTTCTACATGGGTACCATCGAGCAAAAAGTCTTAGTCGACATGAACTTGAAACCGGCCATATACTGCAGGTATGTTGACGACATTTTTACACAGGTACCTGATGTCAGACATCTGCAGGAGCTGAAGGAGGCATTTGAGCAGAGTTCCGTGCTGCGTTTCACTTACGAGATGGAAAAGGATGGGAAGCTGCCCTTTCTAGATGTAACAGTCATGGAAAAGGGCGGAGGTTTCCACACTGCAGTCTACACTAAGGAAACAAACATAGGAATGTGCCTAAATGCCAACAGCGACTGCCCAGACAGGTACAAGAGGAGTGTTGTTAACGCATATGTCGACCGTGCTCTCAGCCACAGCTCAGAATGGAAGCAAGTCGACGAAGAACTCTGTAGGGTAAGGCAGGTCCTAGTCAATAACGGCTTCTCCAATGGTTTCGTCGAAGACATCATAAGAAGGAAAGTGAAAAGCCATGCAACCTCTGAAGAGACAACTAACACAACACCTATACCCCCTATTAGACTATTTTACAGGAACTTCTTTTCCACAGCTCATAAAACGGAGGAAAGGGTCCTGAAAGATATTGTTAATAGAAACGTTATCCCTACAGACAAAAATCAGAGGATACAACTGACGATTTACTATAAAACCAGAAAAACGGCCAGCCTACTCATGAGAAACTCTCCAGACACAAAACAGAACGCTTTAAAAGAGACTAACGTCGTCTATGCCTTCAAATGCCCACTTGGGGACTGTAAGCTCCAAAAAACCCAGTATATAGGCAAGACAACAACATCTCTTTCTAGGCGTTTAACGATGCATAAGCAACAGGGCTCCATTAAGGAACATATAATCTCTTCCCACAACCAAACCATCGCCAGAGAAATCCTAGTAAACAACACAGAAATCATCGATAGATACAGCGATAGCAGGCGGCTTGACGTTTGCGAGGCACTACACATCAAGAAGTCAACACCAGCAATCAACAGCCAATTATTGCACAACTATATTCTACCCACCTCAAGACTCCGCTCCAATATAGAAGCATCAAGAAATATGGACCAATAGGCTTTCTACAAACACTTCTATTCAATATCCATTGTTTCGTGTTCTGTCTTGTGTTGATGAAATTAATACCCTATTAATACTCTTGTTCTGTCTTGTGTTGATGAAATTAATACCCTATTAATACCACATTTTGTTCTGTCTTGTGTTAATGCCACATCACCCCTTCCACCTCACTCAAATGTAGATATAAAATCGGAGATACGTAAGTTCTATTCAGTTGTGTATTTGTGAACTAAAGTCTTTGAAAATGTAATAAGTTTTACGAAACGCGCCCGTGTCGCGTCAGACTAGAAATAAAAATGAATTTTGGAGAATTGATTTTTGATTTACCTCCAACAGTGAACCGTAATGTAAGAAAGATAGAGAAAATTCGTGTTAGAATTATTAATCTTACTTTTTCGGTCATATTTAATAATATATGTCTACAGGAAAGACTGCTACCAAAATATATATATATATATATATATATATTTGTCGTACCTAATAGCCAGAACGGACTTCTCAGCCTACTATTCAAGGCCCGATTTGCCTAATAAGCCAAGTTTTCATGAATTAATGTTTTTTCGTCTACCTAACCTACCTAACCTAACCTAACCTAGCTTTTTTTGGCTACCTAACCTAACCTTACCTATAAATATAGATTAGGTTAGGTTAGGTAGGGTTGGTTAGGTTCGGTCATATATCTACGTTAATTTTAACTCCAATAAAAAAAAATTGACCTCATACATAGAGAAAAGGGTTGTTTTATCATTTCATAAGAAAAAAATTATAGTAAATATATTAATTCAGGAAAACTTGGCTTATTAGGCAAATCGGGCCTTGAATAGTAGGCTGAGAAGTGAGTTCTGGCTACTAGGTACGACATATATATATATATATATATATATAATGTCGTACCTAGTAGCCAGAACGCACTTCTCAGCCTACTATGCAAGGCCTGATTTGTCTAATAAGCCAAGTTTTCATGAAATAATTATTTTTCGACTACCTAACGTACCTAACCTAACCTAACTTTTTCGGCTACCTAACCTAACCTAACTAATAAAGATAGGTTAGGTTAGGTTAGGTAGGGTTGGTTAGGTTCGGTCATATATCTACATTAATTTTAATTCCAATAAAATAAAATTGACCTCATACATAATGAAATGGGTAGCTTTATCATTTCATAAGAAAAAAAATTGAGAAAATATATTAATTCAGGAAAACTTGGCTTATTAGGCAAATCGGGCCTTGCATATTAGGCCAAAAAGTGCGTTCTGGCTACTAGGTACGACATTATATATATATATATATATATATATATATATATATATATATATATATATATATATATATATATATATATATATATATATATTATATATTGTGACGATAATCTCCTTCAAGAGATTGAGCCTGCTCTTCCCTCCACCATTACGTCGTTGAAATTATATAAAACTACTATGGAAGAAATGTCCAACAACGACAACAACACCAGCAAGGTTTGCCAGAGCGCAAAAAGTTGCAGCCAGACACCTGTTCGGACTCAAACCGCCAAACTACCTGTTGATCGCTACCGGCTCCGCTGATTGGTCGCCGGTCTGGTTGCACCTGCACTCGCCCCCCCATACTACTTGATGTCTGGGGTCGCCACGACCTCAGACCTCAGAACATTCAGTGCTTTCGTGGTTATCACTCCTCCCGGCTAGACGTTAGCGTGTACTGAGAGAGGTGGTAGCTTAAAGCCAATATTCCAGCACCTTCCCTTTATTTTGTGTTGCACTTCTTGTTATTTTATCTTAACGTAACTTTTCATTGTGCCATTTAATTATTCTTATTATTTTGATTGATTGATTTTATTATAAGAATTTTTTTGTCCATTTTTTCATGTTTTGATTTATTTAACGTAATTAAAATTTCATTGTTAAAATTTACTTGTGTTTTGTGTGTCTTCTCCTTACCTTACCACAGACGAAGTTCCAGTTTTTCTATTTTTTTATATAACTATGTGACGAGGCCATACCCCTAGCCTTAAACAGCCGAACACCAACGCGTTACCGTCACAATATACACACACAATATTGCGACCACAGGCCAGGCCAGTGGCATATTGGTTAAAACAAAACGATGATTAAGGAATATGATTCCACAGTGGTCCTCTGAAAACCTCTCGGAGGTGGATAAAGACCCACCTACACTCCTGGCAGTGGTCGTGCGGGTGGGGGAAGACTTGATGGTTGTCGTAGTAGGCATCATGGAAGTGGCACTGGCGAGGGGGGGCGCAGAAGGGGCAGCACACCCCCTGCACCACCCGGGGCACAGCACACTGAAGGGGAGGACACCGCACGCTCTCACACCTAACACCACCAGCCTGAGGAAGACAACGTCACTCAAACATCTTTAGACGATGAGATGGAGAAAGGCTGTATTACTGGTTCGTGTAATATTTATATTTATTTATATATATATATATATATATATATATATATATATATATATATATATATATATATATATATATATATATATATATATATATAAACATTATATATACACATTAAAAAGTCAACACCAGCAATCAACAGCCAATTAATGCACAACTATATTCTACCCACCTCAAGACTCTGCTCCAATATAGAAGCATCAAGAAATATGGACCAATAGGCTTTCTACAATCACTTCCATTCAATACCCATTGTTTCGTGTTCTGTCTTGTGTTGATGAAATTAATACCCTATTAATGCCACCTCACCCATCCAACTCACTCAAATGTAGATATAAACAAATAGGAGATGTGTAAGTTCTATTCAGTTGTGTATGTAAAGTCTTTGAAAATGTAATAAGTTTTACGAAACGCGCTCAAGTGTCGCGTCAGACTAGAAATACAAATTAATTTTTGAGAATTGATTTTTGAATTACCACCAACAGTGAAAAGAAATGTACGAAAGATAAAGAAAATTCGTGTTAGAATTATTAATCTTACTTTTTCGGTCATATTTAATAATATAATATATATATATATATATATATATATATATATATATATATATATATATATATATATATATATATATATATCCCCCACTATGAGCGTAGTGGGATAGTCATAGGCCTGGCTAGTGGGTCGTGTAAATAAAACAATCAGGCTCAACAGCCTCACTGTCATTGGTGTTGTGATTAAAAGTCAGTGATGAACTTTAGTTATGTGACTTCTCACTGCATAATGAAACCTTTCCGTTAGTCTGAAGCCATTCCTGTCTCAAACCAGTATAAAGTCATCTACCTGGACTAGTATAAAGTGATCTACCTGGACCAGTATTAAGCCATTTCTACCTGGACCAGTATTAAGCTATGTATATTTAAAACCAGTATAAGGCTATATATATGGGTAAACAATATGCACCCATGACCCCGGGGTTCATCTAGTACTCCTTGACCCCAGCTTTACCTAGTTGTGTCCCCCCCACCCATTACTCCGGCTTTACTACCAGTGACCGCCGCATGACTCGGGCTTTACCTAGCTCAAGCTCCCGTGATTTAGACTTTCCCCAACACTGGCCCCCATGGCGCAGGCTTCACCAAGCAGAGGCACCGCCATCTCACCTGACACTGGCACTCCTGACAGGGGTCGTGCTCGTGGACGAAGGTGTCGCCATCGAGGAAGATCCTGAGGGTGAAGAGGCAGTCTCGACAGACGGGGCAGCAGCCGTCGGAGGGCACGGCAGGGTGGGTACAGGGCACAGAGGGGCACTGAACTCTTCCGCACGTCACCCCTGCGTCCTGGAGAGGTCGGAGGGAGGATGAGCAATGTACACACGCTTAGCAAGAAAGAACTAATCACTGGAACGCGAGTACTGTGCCTTTTTAAAAGACCATATGTCCAAATAAACAAATTCCTAAATGAAAATCATGTCTTTAAAATGCCCGATTCCAAAGCTTTCATGGAGTCAGCATTGTTCCAGCACTACTGGTCTTTCATGGAGTCAGCATTGTTCCAGCACTACTGGTCTTTCATGGAGTCAGCATTGTTCCAGCACTACTGGTCTTTCATGGAGTCAGCATTGTTCCAGCACTACTGGTCTTTCATGGAGTCAGCATTGTTCCAGCACTACTGGTCTCAAATTATACTGAGCCTATATTATTAATAAATTTACATATGTTTCGAGCACTTACATTGTGTGATTAACAAAAGACAAAGTTTTGTTAATAGCCATGAATGATTAATTTTGGATTTTTTGTTTATAAAAAAAGTGTACGTATACTTAAGTTTTTGACCGCACACTTCCAGTAAGATCTACACTTTTACTGAAGCAGTTAAAACTAAATTGGAAAAACTTATGTTTCGAGTTTCTTGTTTGAAAAATTTGAAAATATGGGCGAAACAAACAAAATTACAAAAATGTTGCATATCCAACCTCGGATATACAGCATATCTTATTACGGCGTAATTAATTTCTGATATCAATACCAAACCCAGAATACATATAAATAAATATATTATATAGTGCCTTTTTATTCACAGTAAGATAAAAATACTATTAAATAAAGGCTGTCTGGGTGTTACTAGACTCTAGTGTTCTTGTATCCCCAAGATTAGTGTGTACTTTTATTATTACTAGTTTATTATTACCTGGAATGTACCTGGATGGGGTTCTGGAAGTAACGTGACTATTTTGCTTAACCGTTAATCCAACCCTATAACGCATGCATTGAGTACTCTCCATAAATTTGTTGTTGCAGTCAAGACAGTTCCCCACTAATCAGTCACCACTGGTATCCGATACACCGTCTAAACAGCATTTATTATTAACAGAGGCGCCTCGGGTTCCAACATTATATTACTGGAGTTGCCTGAAGGGACAGTCTTACCGTACAGGAGCACTGCAGACACGCGTGCGTCGGGTGCTGGAAGGTCTCTCCGAGTGGGTACAGCGTCCCCTCCAGGAGGCAGGAGGAGCGCTGGCAGCTAGGGCAAGATACTTGGGAGGAATGGTCAACAGAAGGACGTAGGAAGACAGGTAGGAATGTTGACGTATACGGTGTTAATGGGGATAGGGATGTAGGGGGAGGCAAGAATGGTGTAGATGTTTTGCCTAAACTTGACAATTGTGAAGGCGGCACTGTGGAGGTCCGGGGTGATGGAGGAGAGAGATCTGCAGGGAAAGTGCTAGGCAAAGGGGAAGTGTGGGAGAGTGAGGGGGTGCCTTGAACGTCAGTAGGGCGGTGTGCAGCTGCTGCAGGAGGGCAGGTCGGGCAGCAGGAGCCCGCCAACACTACTGGGCTTCCACATGACACATCGTGACACTTGGGGTCCAGGCAACGTACAACACCATTCTGGGAAAACATGATTCAGGAATATTAATTAAAATTGCATAGCTAAACTTCACAATAATTGTGTAGTTCCCTTCAACAATATCAAGGTAAGTTTACCGCTAGTATGAAGGAGTGATTTTCCCCCACTTTGAGTTCTTTACTAGAAACAAGTACTGTATTTTATATTATATATATATAAATATATATATATATATATATATATATATATATATATATATATATATATATATATATATATATATATATATATATATATATATATATATATAATACGTCATGCGTATTAGACGAGTTAAATTATTATCAGGCTACTGGTGTCCTTATTAAAATAAAAAAAATGGAATGAGGGGAAAGTGGAAGAACAGCAATCTCTTGGGGTCATGAACCCACATGTAGCTCCCACTGCAAGGCGAGACACTACATGGGAGTCCAATGTTATCCACTGGTGCAGAACCCCAGCAGAAACAGGTCTTGTCTTTCTTCAAGGGAGGAACCAAGACATGAACCATTTAAAATGTTTGGGACAGCAGCTTTGGGAACACCATTCTCGTGTTGACTATGAAGAACCATACATCTCTCACCCGTACACGAGATTGGGAGAGTGACAAATATGCACGGCATCATGTTTACTGATTCCTACATGGCCAGCGTCTGGAGGAATCCAAAGACATACATGCCCAAGCGTAGGGTACTGATCATTGCATCTAGTGCATAATTACTTCCTAGTTTAATCTGGCAGACATACGTGTAAGACTCCTTACGTAAGACTGTGCCACTTGCATTGCAATACCTCACACTTTGACAGGTAGCGTGACGTTACGTGGGAAGCATATACACAACATCCGGAGACTTGAGGCTTTATTGTAATATTATCCTCGTCCGAAGCCGTCATCTGTTATGCCTATGACATATGGATTGTTCCAAATACCCAAACTAGACTGAAGCTCTACTTGATTCACTCTCTGCTAAAAGCATTGAATGTGGTCTTGTTATAGAGATAACTAAATCCAGAGCTCTCCATCCCCAAGAGAAAGTAAGTAATTATCAAAAGAAGGCACCAAACCGGGAAGGCTGTGTAGCACCATCAAATGTGCAAAATAATCAGAGGGCGCTAAATATCACCAAGGATGCCAATACGAGAACAGATACACATAAGGCGAACGATATCAAAAGTATCCGAATCACCAAGAATACTATCGAGGGACAAGCGACCGCGGGGGACGATCGGAAAACAAGACACATGCTCGTCCTGGAAGTCAGGACATTCAACAAGGATGTGCACGACTGTAAGAGGGCAATGCAATTAGGACAATAAGGAGCAGGGCGGCGTTCTATCAAGTGACCATGAGTTAAGCGAGTATGGCCAATACGCAACCTCGCCAGAGCCGTTTCCCATCGCCGGTTACGGTTCCCCAAGAGAAAACTCATGTCCTTATAATTTTCAAGGTCAACAACCAGAACACTTAAACGTGTGGGCAGCACAAATACTTTAGAGTTGGTATCAACAGTGACATTGTAAACTATCTACACCGTAGGTTAAAAGAAAGAAAAACCACTGAAAACACTTACTAGTAAGAATATTGGTATCAATATTAAATATGCTAGACTATTCCATATGATGTTTGCTAGATCTCTCGTTGATTATAATGCTTTGCACCTAATTAACTTCCCCTCCTCTGTGTTGGACAAACTTGAAGTAGTACAGAATGAAGCCATGAGGATAATTCTTGGTGCCCCAAGATGCACAAGAATCATCAACATGAGGGAAGAACTGAAGCTTCCAACCATTCTAGAGAGAATCATGCAAGTTAACACTACCTTTTGCCTTAAAGTCATGAGAGACCCTACATCTCCTGCATTGCTCAGAGACAAATTATTTAGTGCTGTTAACACCCTATTGACTGGTGCCGACATACCAACTCACTCCTTTTATGATAAATGGCTGAGTTAAAAGGCCTACAATCTCATAAAACTCAATATTCCTTTTAAATGAAATCTACCTATCTCCGATACTCCTCTTCATCTGTGCCCCACCATTCAAGTATCATACACACCTGTCACCAAGAAAGGTAATGAGAAGCTTCCTCTTCTCACAGCTGTCACACTTGAACCAATTGCCTCCTCCATCGAAAATTTAATATCTCACGAGCACTGTGTCTACACCGACGGTTCAGTCCAGTCTTCTACTGGACGGACTGCAGCGGCATGTAGGTTTTATAGAAATAATATTTGCACAAAGACTGTCAGTGTCAGGTTAAACAACTGGCTGACCTCCACACAAGCAGAACTAGCAGCATTACAACTAGCTACCAGTACATTGAAAAACATTGGAGAAGGAATAATATTTTGTGATTCAAAGTCTGCTCTTCAAGCAATCGAAAACTTCTCTTGGAAGATTGACAGCAAGAACCTCATACTACCAATTATAAATGACCTAATCGCTGCATAGAGTAAAGGGTTTCGAATCTCCTTTGTATGGATACCATAACACACAAATATAACCCATCATAATGAGACACATTGCAGCCAAATTATCGTGTAACAAAGATAAAGTTGAATTAGATCTAGGTATCCTCATCTTTGCTGTCAAAACTATATTGTTCCAAACACTCAGGTCTGATAGAGAAATTACTGTTTCCCAACGACCTGAAAGCAAAAGTATAAAAAGCTATGATTTGTTCAGATCTGAAACCTACATTTATGGGTAGTACAAAGAGTTCACACCACTGTGCGACACAGTGATTGCCAGGATCAGGTTGGGTTACCGTTACCTGTGGCAGGTGGCTACATGTGACGGATTTCTCAATCCTGAGCACTCCAGGTGCAAACTCTGTGAGCTGGAACTGGGGCATGAGCTTGCACACATCATCAAATGCCCAGTTATCAGACCATTCAGACCCGTTGGCATGAGGTACCTGGGGTTTTGCAATTACTTTATTCACTCGCGTGTTCTTGAAGATATCCTCATATTGCACCCAAAACCAGTAGCCAGTGCAGGCTACTGAACAAATGGCCTTGTATGACTATGTAAGTAAGTAATTATCAAAAGAAGGCACCAAACCGGGAAGGCTATGTAGCACCATCAAATGTGCGGAATAATCAGAGGGCGCTAAATATCACCAAGGATGCCAATACGAGAACAAAAACGCATAAGGCGAACGATATCAAAAGTATCCGAGTCACCAAGAATTCTATTGAGGGACAGGTGACCGCGAGGGGCGGTCGGAAAGCAAGACACACGCTCGTCCTGGAAGTCAGGGCATTCAAGGAGGACATGCACGACCGTAAGAGGGACAATGCAATTAGGACAATAAGGAGCAGGGTGGCGCTCCAACAAGTGACCATGGGTTAAGCGAGTATGGCCAATATGCAACCTCGCCAGAGCTGTTTCCCATCGCCGGTTATGGTGGTAGGAGGACGGCCACAAGGAAACACAACATTTAAGAGTACGTAGTTTGTTACCAGTAACAGATGACCAACGGGTAAGGATGGAGGAATGGATAACCGGGTAAAAGTCGGAATATGGAATACCTTTACAAGAGATGGGACAAGAGCGGACAGCTTCCTTGGCGGCAGCATCCGCACGCTCATTAAAAGACACACCAATATGGCTGGGAACCCAACAAAACTCAACCGACTTAAATTTACTGTGAACAAGAAACAGCCAATGCTGGATCTCGACAACTACTGGATGAACCGGATTAAAGGACCCGAGAGCCATGAAGGTACTACGAGAGTCAACAACAACTACAAAGGAAGATCGACAACGAGAAAGCAGAAGACGAAGAGCAGAGAGAATAGCATAAAGCTCCGCTGTAAAGATGCTAGTCTCCGGAGGTAAGCGACACATATAAGTGTGATCAGGAAAAAACAACATAGTAGCCAACACCGTCCGCAGACTTAGACCCATCGGTGAAGACAGAAACGGAGCGGGAGTGAGAAGAAAAGTGCTCGAGGAAAAGGCGTTTTAGAACCGTAGGAGGGGTAAAAGCTTTAGTGATGCGGGTCAAGGACGTACAAAACTGCGGAAGGGGGACTCTCCACGGGGGCAAAGAAGGAACAACACGAGGAGAAACATTAGAAACACGAACAGAAAGAGAATCCTGTAAGCGAGATAACCGGACAGAAAGAGGGAGGTGGTGAAGAGGAACAGGAACCGCAGGAGGGGTAAAAGTTAAAGCACGACAGAGGCGAGAGGAAGGATGTTGTAAGGACCGCGCAAGATAGCGAAGACAGTAGCGATCACGGCGGTCCTGGAGAGACAGGAAGCCAGTGTCAACATACAAGCTTAGGACGGGAGTCGAACGAAAGGCACCAGAACTGAGGCGCAACCCAGTATGGTGCAAAGCATCAAGACGGCGAAGAGTAGAAGGAGAAGCAGACGAGTAAGCAGGGCAACCATAATCGAGCTTAGACAGGACGAGAGAGGAATGTAAAGCGAGGAGTGCGCGCCTATCCGCTCCCCAAGAAGTATGGGACAATACCCGAAGGAGGGTAAGGGCCTTAGAGCACTCAACACGGAGGTAAGAGATATGGGGAGACCAAGACAAACGAGTGTCAATGAATAACCCCAAAAGCTTCGCGGAATCTTTGTACTCAAGGGGATGACCATAAAGTGACAAAGATAGACGAAGAACGACCCGTTTCCGAGTAAAAGACATGGCACAAGTCTTTGAAGTAGAGAACTTGAAGCCATGATCGGTGGCCCAAGACGACATGGCATCAATCGCAAGTTGAAGCCGGCGCTGAAGGAGAGGCGAATCACCTCCCTGACCGCAAAGGGTAAGATCATCGACATAGAGAGCGGAGAAGACACCTGAAGGAAGAGAGGAAAGAAGACCATTGAGGGCAACCAGAAAAAGAGTAGTGCTCAGAACACTACCCTGGGGCACACCTTCGTATTGCTGAAAAGATGCAGAGAAAGTGGTACCAAGCCGCACCCGAAAGGAACGACTAGCTGTTCCAATGCATCTGTTCAATGTTACCAAATGTATGCCTAAAAAAAACAAAATAAGTACTTTTTATCAGCTAAATCAATTTGTGAAAGGGATGAGTCATGATAGAACTGATATTCAGTCCTATCGTTAAGAATATAGATTTTCTTAACTGGAGGGGAGGTTAGGGTCATGGGGTACCCAGGGAACTCCAAGGCTCTTGAAGTACTGGGGTTCATGTGTGGAAGTCTTAGCAACAAGACATGAGGTTAGAACAAATCCACAAGGGCCGTGATGAGGGTTCGAACCTACATCCAAGAGGATCCCAGACGCGCCTCAATCGACTGTACCAAGACATGGTGAAAGAACTGCATAGGTGCAATTCCATACATATAATAGGTGAATGGGGGAATTTTGTAAAAACCCTGGTTGTGTCTTGGAGAGACTTCAGGATCCGTGTGAGGGTAGTTGCACATCCGGTTGTAATTCGTTTACCATGTCTCGGCACAGTCGATTAAGGCAGCGTCTGGGATCCTCTCGGACGTAGGTTGGAACCCTCATCACGGTCCTTGTGAATTTGTTCATTTGATGCATCACGCTATTGTGATTTCTGTGTGTAATATGAGGTTAGCCTTCATGTAGTCTTCAGTAGTCTCCATGGTGTAGTGGTAAGACACTCGCCTGGCGTTCCGCGAGCACTATGTCATGGGTTCGTATCCTGGCCGGGGAGGATTTACTGGGCGCAAATCCTTAACTGTAGCCTCTGTTTAACGCAACAGTAAAATGTGTACTTGGATGAAAAAACGATTCTTCGCGGCAGGGGATCGTATTCCAGGGACCATAGGATTAAGGACTTGCCCGAAACGCTACGCGTACTAGTGGCTGTACAAGAATGTAACAACTCTTGTATATATCTAAAAAAAAAAAATGTTTATCTTGCCATTGTGAGACCCGGCTTAGGGTATGCTGAGCAGTTTGGGCACATTAGACACACTTGAGCTAGAGACAAAAAAATCTCAACTTACGTTCGGAAGGAAGTTGTAGAGCAAGAATGATCACGACTGAACTCTTCAACTGGATGGACGGGATTAACAAGCAAGATATAAATAGAGTTTTTAAAATATTACCAAATTTGGAACCGACACAACTGATTAAAATAAAAATTTTAATTCAGAAACATTATTCAGTATTTTCTGAATTCAAATTGAAAATTAATTTAATTTTCAATTTTAATTCAGAAAATAAATGGGCAAACTCTGATTCGGAAAAAAGGATGGAAGATCTGTGGAACAAGGTAACAAGTAACATCATAATAAAAAAAATCACTGGAAAATTTTAAGCACAAATAGGATAAATACATAAATGAGTCTGGTTGGGGCTAAATAGGAGCAGCATTGTACTGGCTAATAGGCCTTCTGGACATTGCTTTATGCTTATATTCTTATTGTAGCATGCCGATATTATTGTAGCATGCTGATATTATTGTAGCATGCTGATATTATTGTAGCATGCTGATATTCTTATTGTAGCATGCTGATATTCTTATTGTAGCATGCTGATATTATTGTAGCATGCTGATATTATTGTAGCATGCTGATATTATTGTAGCATGCTGATATTATTGTAGCATGCTGATATTATTGTAGCATGCTGATATTCTTATTGTAGCATGCTGATATTCTTATTGTAGCATGCTGATATTATTGTAGCATGCTGATATTATTGTAGCATGCTGATATTATTGTAGCATGCTGATATTCTTATTGTAGCATGCTGATATTCTTATTGTAGCATGCTGATATTCTTATTGTAGCATGCTGATATTATTGTAGCATGCTGATATTATTGTAGCATGCTGATACTCTTATTGTAGCATGCTGATACTCTTATTGTAGCATGCTGATACTCTTATTGTAGCATGCTGATATTCTTATTGTAGCATGCTGATATTCTTATTGTAGCATGCTGATATTCTTATTGTAGCATGCTGATATTATTGTAGCATGCTGATATTATTGTAGCATGCTGATATTCTTATTGTAGCATGCTTATATTCTTATTGTAGCATGCTGATATTCTTATTGTAGCATGCTGATATTCTTATTGTAGCATGCTGATATTCTTATTGTAGCATGCTGATATTATTAACATACAATTATGAGCTATAACGAATGAGAAACTTAGGGGTACCCGGCATTGCCCGGGTCTTTCTGTACATGTCCCCCCTCTGTCTGTGTCTCTCCAGCTATCTATCTATCTAGCTATCTCTTCTTTCACCCACTCCATTTCCCCCTCAAGAAGCACTGAAACAGATGGACGAGTCTCAAAAGCTTTGCTTTTTTTTTTTTTTAAATCTTCCTTGTTTACATTATATTTTCTTTCCAGTAACTCCAAGTAGATCACACGCCATATTTCACAGTGACTCCATGAAAATGTCCTGGGAGTGTTCATAATTGCTAATATTCTTAAAGCATTCAACTAAGTCCTACCCCGACTTTCCTGTACCCCAGGCCATTCCCTCTGCAAATTTGGGTGAGGCTAGCCATAAGTGTCTAGCCTCGAACTTTGGACAAACACTCTTATGGATACAGATAATTCAAGGGAAACTTGCATATAATTTTTGAATGTAAAACAATATATTTCACACAAGCATCATGAAAAACACATTACCAGACACTGGCACTCCTGGCAAGGTTTCTCCGAGGACAGGGTGAAGGTTTGGCCGTTAGTGTACTGTTGGTCGTGATAGAGGCAGTTGTCGCAGAGAGGGCAGCACTGACCAGTGGGTGTGGCCGGGTGGGAGCACTGCGGGTTGCAATAGTCCTCCTGCGAGCGACAAGTGACCGAACCTGCCTCACATTTGCACCTCATACACGGGTCAGCCTCCAACTGCCACTCAGAGCCGTCCCTGGAACACGCAAACAACTGAGGGGCTGCACCAAGCCGTCACTAATGCAATCAAAGCTTCCACAGCAAAACGTAATAGCTAATCACACCATTAAGTCATCCCGACAGTACAAACTGTGGCGGGTAACCGCACCAGCGCACACCGCCAGACATCACTGAAACAGGATAATAAAAAATCATATTAATTCGCCCTACATTCCAGGCGCCGTAATGTGCGCCTCTTATAATTTTTCACTGCTGGACTCACTGCTAACAAAAGCAATACCTCAAGAAGACACACAGGAAACAATTATACGAGACATCATCAATGTTGGTTAGCGAGTTAGAATGAATATTTATTAATTAGATGTTAGTTTAAACAGTCTTTTGTGATAGGAATGTGTGGGTGTTTACACACACACACATTCATTCATGTGTCATAAAGACCGGATGACTTCGGACGTATAGATCATTTTTTCCGTTAGAAGAAACAATAATTCAACGGTTTACGTTTTGGCTACCAACACATCAGAGCAGCTATTACGAGGATTCTCACCCCCCAGGACCACTGTATGGGGATCATTCACACCCCATGATCACTGTAGGGGATCATTCACACCCCATGATCACTGTAGGGGATCATTCACACCCCATGATCACTGTAGGGGATCATTCACACCCCATGATCACTGTAGGAGATCATTCACACCCCATGATCACTGTAGGGGATCATTCACACCCCATGATCACTGTAGGGGATCATTCACACCCCATGATCACTGTAGGGGATCATTCACACCCCAGCCACAGACTGAAGGCGAGTATGGAGCTGATCAGGTAGTATTCTTGTCCGAGTAATCATTATCAAAGTATTAGTTCCATATAGGAGCGCCGAGTTCATTAACTGTATCTTCATTCAAGAAACAGGACAGATCTTCAGTATGGAGTCCCGATGTTCTTTGTGAAGCTGGAACAGTGCACAGTCCTAACGTCACAAGCAGCGAGGGGAAACGTACAGTGCCGTCTTTAACAGCATTATGGGCCCCTGGGCACACCTGTGTGCTGGGGGGCCCCTGGGCACACCTGTGTGCTGGGGGGCCCCTGGGCACAACTGTGTGCTGGGGGGCCCCTGGGCACACCTGTGTGCTGGGGGGCCCCTGGGCACACCAGTGTGCTGGGGGGCCCCTGGGCACACCAGTGTGCTGGGGGGCCCCTGGGCACACCTGTGTGCTGGGGGGCCCCTGGGCACACCTGTGTGCTGGAGGCCCTTCGACAACCACTCACACGAATAAAAAGTGAATGGTCGATGATGTTAAACATGTATTTATTTAATGGCACTTCAACAAAACTGGTGTTAAACATTAAAAACATGCTATAGAGCAGAAACTAATCAACATGATAAACATTTGAACAATACACAAGAAAAACACAATAATAATCAGTAAGCTACACATTAAATGACACAGTCTACGAACTTCTTATTAAAACAAGTAAGTAATTATCAAAAGAAGGCACCAAGCTGGGAAGGCTATGTGGCACCATCAAATGTGCGGAATCTCATAATGAATGTCATCTGAACCCGCTGCAGTAGAATCACCGAGGGCCAGAGCAGACTGAAGTTCGAAGGAAGAGAAGGGATCGTTATAGGTAAGTCGGAGATGAGTGTGGTAATGTAATGGATGAGATTCAAGAACGGGATTACGAAGGAAGGAAGGATTGACGAAGATGAGAACCGGAGCTAACAGTCGAAAACTGGGAACCCAGTTTGGTCGCAACCTTCACTGGGTCCGCCACAAGAGTACCACGGAGGTAAAGGACCGGTGAGACATCTGGAATGAACTTTATCGCTATCTTGCAGATTTTTTTCCCAGACCTGCAGCAGAGGAGTATCGGACGTAATGATGGAAACATAAGATTTCCAACTCTCACGCCTAGCTTCACGGATGGCCCTAGGGGCCACAACACTTGCCTTTCGAAACAAAAAAGAATCGGCCGGCATCGGTGTTTCTTCCAGGCTGCACGCTTACAGTGGACACCCTGAACACAGTCTGCATTCCACCAGGGAACGAACTTTTCGCATGTCCCAGGCGGTAGGGCGAGGAATAGAGCGGATGGCAGCGTCGAAGACGGTGTCATGAAAAAGGTGGAGGGCGTGTGAGAGAGGTCTGAGAGAGGAGAGGTGAGAGAGAGGAGCACGGAGGGTGAATGGGTTCCAGTCTGCCTTAGCAAACTCGGGTCAACGTCCCCGCGGCCCGGTCGTCGACCAGGCCTTCTAGTTGCTGGACTGGTCAACCAGGCTCTTGGACGCGGCTGCTCACAACCTAACGAATGGGTCATAGCCTGGTTGATCAGGTATCCTTTGGAGGTGCTTGTCAAGTTCTCTCTTGAACACTGAGGAGTTGACCAGTTATGCCCCTTATGTGTAGTGGAAGTGTGTTGAACAGTCTCAGGCCTCTGATGTTTGTCTGCTGAAACTGGATGATTGGTAGCAGGAATGGATGTAGATATGGATGCTATATCTGAAGGAATGGTATGAGTGGCTGTCGTCGCACCTGTGTTGAGCTACGATGTTAATTTTGGAAGTTTCCTATTTTCTCGTTCTCCTCTGCAGCTCTCTTCCTCTTCTGTACTCCACTCAAAACATTACGTTTAATTTCTGCTGAAAGGGTTATTCACCTGGAAATATATATCTTAAATATTTAGTATTACTCCCACACCAGGATGTAGGGTTACATTATACAAGTGTGCTTGCAACAAGACCTAAATATTGAAACACAATGCTTCCATATTGAACATGTCCTATGCTCGTGGCCCCACGAGCATGGAGCCCCCAGGGCAAGTGCCCATCGGACCCCATGCGGTAAGACGGCTCTGGAGACGTCAATAGAGAGCTGGTCACACTGTGGCGTACGAGTCGCCACTGGAGGCAACATGGGCAAGGTGGCCAGGGGACGATAACGAGTTAACACCAAAAGTTGTGGGGTCAAAGGTTGGCACAGGAATGTCCAGTGGAACGGTTCGAGAGTGGAAATGGTGGACAGGATCTAGCCCTGCTATAGAAGTGGAACCATCAGGGATCTGTTCTTGGTGTAGAGGAGCAAATCTTCTGCGGGGCACGACCTGTGGACCTGCATGATCGCCCGCTACCAGTCTACGAGGAATTAAGAGTGTGCATTTTCCTTACAGCAAGTAGAGGAGGAGGTTGCATCCTGATGCCATCGAATACCACCTACTAGGGCAGCAAGGTGAGGCTGAGCGCTGCCCATCACAGATAGGAGACTGGTTATCTCTTCCCCAGTTCTCCAGCTTGTGCAGTCACATCAGGCAGGGGAGAGGGAAGCAGGAGCCAACCCCTCCCTTACCGTGGGCGGCACACAAGAGCCCCTCACCACACTGAGGAACTAACCACTGACGAGGAGTGAATTCAATAATTGCAGGTCGCCTACATCGTTGTACATCTCCGCTCCCGCCTCCCACCCCGGCTCTTCCAGCCATCGCGTGGGGCCAATAAAAGCGACCACTCCAGTCAGTAGATCGATGACCTCAATGGAAAACCGTTCGTGGTGGGTGCCTTGTTGCAGGTGAGGCCTACAGGCAGGAGGGGGAAGCACATGTCCCTCAACACCATGCTAATGCTCCCCTCCTCACGACATCGAGGCCGCACCCATGGGGGCAGTAATGACTCTTAAGCTGTCCGTCCTCTCGAGCGTGCACAACGTCACGAAACTGATGTACTAAATTGCCCGAATCTTACCTAAGGACCCATGAACAAAAATACGGGACATCACGTCAATTTTGCGAGCCACTGAGATCTTTCGTGCATCAGTTTATTGGCCTCAGAAAATTTATTCGTCAAATTGCAAGGTGCTGTTCTTCAGTTTTTCTTATAAATTATGTGCGCACACGTGCATGCATGCATGCGCGTGCGTGCTCCTTAAGAGTGATCTATTCATGTCTTCCTATTAGTAAAATTATATTATACGAAATATTTATATTTCAGCAACTCATTACGAAGTTGAGATAAAATACCCGTAACATTGGAGGGTACCGAGGTAGTCACAGTGGGAGCAGGTGGGTTACAGAGGGGCACTTACTGATGGGTCTGGCCGAGGTAGTCACAGTGGGTGCAGGTGGGTTACAGAGGGGCACTTACTGATGGGTCTGGCCGAGGTAGTCACAGTGGGTGCAGGTGGGTTACAGAGGGGCACTTACTGATGGGTCTGGCCCAGGTAGTCACAGTGGGTGCAGGTGGGTTAGAGGGGCACTTACTGATGCGTCTGGCCGAGGTAGTCACAGTGGGTGCAGGTGGGGCAGCAGTGGCCGGGCAACAGGTGGGCATCCCCGCAGTAGACCTCCGGGCAGCGCACAGTCTCACACAGGACACTCCCTGAAACACTTGGGTTACACCTGGCCTTCTGGGAGTATAATGCCAGCTGTACACATCACTGAGTTACGGCACCTCCCGGGGGAGGGGGAGGGGGCGGGGGAGGGGGCGGGGGAGGGGGAGGAATGATCAAGCAAACTGATAAAGCATGTCAGCGTGCGCGTGCGCGCGTGTGTGTGTGTGTGTGTGTGTGTGTGTGTGTGTGTGTGTGTGTGTGTGTGTGTGTGTGTGTGTGTGTGTGTGTGTGTGTGTGTGTGTGTGTGTGTGTGTGTGCGTGCGTGCGTGCGCGTGTGCGTGTGTGTGTGTGTGTGTGTGCGTGTGTGTGTGACATACACGCGCGCGCGTGTGCGTGTGTGTGTGTGTGTGTGTGTGACATACACAAAAGCTCATACTTCAGGAAATATTCACTTACTATATGAAGTAATTTGTGTTCCTCTATGGTACAAAAAACCTGATTTTATCTATGAAAAAGATATATTTGAGTAAATAAAAATCTATTCAGGCTTATATCTGTTGCATAAAAATTAGTCCTTTACATCAATTAGCTAAATATTAATATTATGCAAAAAACTGAAAGGAAAAAATATTGTGGACACTCCGTTAACGAACCAATATTTACTCACATGGCTCCTCCTGTCTTCACTCTCACCTTCCCAGAGAAGTATGTCTCAAATTTTGGAATAATGTTGCAAAATGTTGAGAATTCTTTAAACACAGAAATTTAACAAACCACAATAAGACAAATTCAATTTGTTAACTCTTTTGTTAATTCTGGGAGTTTGGTAGGAAGCTTTACCGAGGGGGTTTACCATGTAAGTTTACCCACCTTACACAAGCAGACCCAGACGGTGCAAGAACACAAGCAGACACAGACGGTGCAAGAACACAAGCAGACCCAGACGGTGCAAGAACACAAGCAGACACAGACGGTGCAAGAACACAAGCAGACACAGACGGTGCAAGAACACAAGCAGACACAGACGGTGCAAGAACACAAGCAGACACAGACGGTGCAAGAACACAAGCAGACACAGACGGTGCAAGAACACAAGCAGACACAGACGGTGCAAGAACACAAGCAGACACAGACGGTGCAAGAACACAAGCAGACACAGACGGTGCAAGAACACAAGCAGACACAGACGGTGCAAGAACACAAGCACAGCCAGACGGTGCAATAATTCTACCAGACACAGCCAGTGCAAAAATACAAACAGACAGACGGTGGCACGAATACAAGCAAACACAGACAGTGCAAAAATACAGCCGGCCTGACCAACCAAGCATCAACAACCCAAGGACCCCTTCGGAAAGCAGCAGTCTCATTCTTCGCCAGAAAAGAAGGAGACGGCCGCAACCGAGCAAACCTACCACCACGACCAAAACAACAGAAACCCCTGCTCCTGAGAAGAGTATGAAGCTCCGCAACCCAATCCCCAGAGGCCAATGCCAACAGGAAAAAAAAGAGCCTTGGAAAAGCAATTCTGAACCGAAGGAGCCACAACAAACCGAGGTGAAAAGAGGTAGGAGAGCATTCCGTCCAAAGATCAGGACAACTCATGCAGTGCATGAGCAGGCCGGAGGTGAAACAACGCACGAGACAGCTTGCGAAACGGCGTAGAAGTGACATCTATACCAAAAGCAAGCTGCAGCGGCTCCGCCAGCACCACATGATACGAGGTGACAGTATTTGGCATAAGATGATGGCCCTGGAGCAACCACAAGAGAAAGAACGACAACACCACCCGAACCGAAAGCGAAGTACAACGACGAAGAGTCAAAAAGAAATGGAAGGACCGCCAGGAAACTTCATACTGCTACCGAGATGAAGGGTGGATGGTGGGTTACCATCAAGGAAGCCACCTGATCACCATATCGATAGTGTTAAACTCTAGTCAAAAATACCAAACATGAAGACTCGAGGAGAAGAGCGAACCAGTCTCGTAACGGACCAGGCCGATCTGTTGAAAGAGGCGGAGCTGCGGGATAACCTCCGGGTTCATACACCTGGCAAGCAGCGCCTGAAACCACGACTGGGCCAGCCACCACGGGGCCAAGAGGTAAGGCCACCACGGGGCCAAGAGGTAAGGCCACCACTCGCCCCTGGTAAGTCTCCAAGCGAGCCAGGACCTGGAGCTACAGCTGAACCGGGGGTAAGAAGTACAGGAAACCCCCCCCCCCCATCCTCAACCAGTCCTGCCAGAAGGTGTCGATCCCAACGACATCGCGGTCGGGGAAAGGTGCCACAAATACCAGAAGACGCCTCGACCACACCGACGCGAAGAGGTCCACCTCCAGACGCCCGAACGTCTGGCAGAGCCAACTGAATGAATCGGCATTGACTGTCCACTGTAGACAGGAGTACGAACCAGGACAGGCTGTCCACCAGGACATTGGACATTCTCCGGACATGAACGGCCAGGAGAGCCAAACCTCAAGAACTCAGCAGACGAGTCACCCGAAGCGACCAGCCCCAAAGATCCAAGGACCGCAACGAACCCCCTTGGATCAGGCAATGAACCACTTGGGAGTAGTCCGAATGGTGCCAGATCGTCGATCCACGGGCGACCCAAACCCTCTGAAGTGCAAACCACTCCGCCACGAACTCCCGCACCATGCTGTAGACTCAACGGAAGGACGGACCTCACCGTTCCTGGCCGGCCTGGTGAGCACTGGTCACAAAGACCTAGCCGAGAGACGACGTATCCGTGAACACATCGAGCAAGGGCTCAGGTAGGCGCCAAGGCACTGATCCCCGAAAAACCCAAAGAAGAAGCCGGCGACACAGTAGTCAACCTAAGGGCTCCTGGGGGTCAAACCCAGCGATCACGAGAGAGGCGGAAGGGACGTCCCCGAAGGAACCAGAACAGCCGACAAAGCCAAACCCGACCCCGGCGGGTAGACCATCATCGCAAAGTTCAGGCTCCCGCATAGACCCTCGAGCAACCTCCGGGTGACCCGGGAGCTTTCCAAAAAACAGGCGCATGTGGGACCGCAGCCGAGAGAGAGACTGCAGAGGAAAAGACAAGGGAAGCGGTCCGAGAGTCCCTCACAAGACCCAGCCAGGTCTGAACCTGGAGGGAATCAGATGGGACTTCCGCCAGTTCACCAGGAACCCGAACCTAGCAAGCTGGGAAAGCACCAAACCCTTAGCGAGCAAGCACGCAGACCGACTGGGAGCTCAAACCATCTAGTCATCGAGGTAAGCCAACACCCGAACACCTAACAGATGCAGACGGGCCACCACGACCCGGGTAAGGCGTGTGAACACGTGAGGTGCTAGATTTAACCCGAAAGGGAGACAATGAAACCGGTAACTCTAAGGCCCCAAAACAAACCCGAGCCAGTCCCTGAACGTGGATGAATCTGAACGTGCCAATACGCGTCCTTGAGGTCCAGGGAAACCATCCAAGCGCCTGGCTCCAACAGAAGCGGAACCTGGGCAGAGTCCCAGCATCCAAAAGGAGGGGCAATAAACCCCCAGAGTTTCTGACGGGATAAGTTCAGAATGAACCGCAGGTCTGCACAGTCCTGTTTAGGAACTCGAACTTTGTTTCTCGCCTGCTTAGAAACAGGCGAGAAACCTACCTTAGGGACGTCCTCGTTTCGACCACGCCCAGGTGCACTCACTCCAAGATGACCTGACAGAGCGCAGGAGAGGCAGCCTGCCCTGCCAGCCTCAAACCCCCTGGAGGAGGAGGAGCCACCCAACGCCACCGCACGCCACGAGAAACAACCTGAAAAGCCCACGAATTGTGAGACCAAGCGTGAGCGAACAGAGCAAGCCTCTCCCCCATTGCCGCGTCAATAGGACGAAAGGGCCGATGCCCCTTATAAGAACCTGACCTGTGCACAGAGCGATCACCGTGCTGATCAGGCGCAGCCTGGATCGAGGGCGGCACCGGCTCCGAAACTGGTACCTGTGGCCCATCCCGACGAGCGGAACCGTGGGCCCTGGTACGATACTTTTGACGAACCCACCTGGGACCCCTGGAGAACCAACAAGTCAGACATCGAGCGGCAACTGGAGGAAGCCGCTTGCATATACTGCTCAACTGCAGAGGCCGCAAACAACAGAGGACGAAAGGGGCGAAGACAATCTAAGAGTTAGGGCTCAAACGGATTTCAAGGAGGAAGCGAGCACCACCTCTCGACACATGCAGCGAAAAATCGCGACCGCGCATCCTGCAGGATCGGCGTAAACAGTTTCAAAAACGCAAATGACGCACCAGCAGCCGAGGCCAAGGCGCCAGACCCAGGAACAGTCCCAAGCGCCTCAACATCCTCTGCAAGCCAATCCGAAGGCAGCTCCAGGAGGGAAAAGAAAGGTAGGACCGAAGCCTACGAGCCCCCGCACGCGCAAGTCCTCAGCCACAGGCGCAGCCGACAGGGAACCTGCACGTGAAGCTGAACAGCGCCCACATCCCAGAGAAGGGCCGGAGCGAAAAGGCACTCATTAGGGTGTACAAAGTCGCCCCCCAGGTAAACCTGGACCACAGTCAACGCCTCACGCCACTCAAGCGTGCGGGTACGACAGAAGGTGTTCCAAGCATCTAGCGAGAGCAGAGGGCAGTCCGCAAGGCAGGACGAATCTGGAACCTCATTACGAGCCCAGTATGGAGACAAGTTCCAAACCTGAAAGGAGACGGATCCATTGGACAGATCTGCAAAACACAAGCAGACAGACGGTGGAAAACACTAGCAGATACAGACGGGGCAAGAAAACAGGCAGACACAGACGGTGCAAGACACAAGCAGACAGAGATAATGCAAGAACACAGGCAGACAGAGACGGTAGAGGAAATGCAGCAGAGAGAACATACCGTGCCTGCAGGTACAATAGCTGCAGGGGTCGGAGGTGGGGACCGTGTGGAAGTGGGCGTAGACTTGGTTGTGGTAGAGACAGGCGTGGCAGGAGGGGCAGCAGGCTGTGGGTGGTGGCGGCACCGGGTGGCTGCAGGTCTCCTGGGGAAGGCGCGGGAGCAGGGGTTCACAGGGGACCAGCTCCTCACACACAGTACACGCACGAGAGGCAAAATAAACGCCAACAACGCATTTGGAGGAGAAGAGTTCCAGAGAATGAGACGGAAAGCGATGAAGAGCAGAGTGCTTGGAACAGGTGCGAGCAGTGGTGAGAGAAGAGGAGGAGGAAGCAGTGGTGAGAGAAGAGGAGGAGGAGGAGGAGGAGGAAGCAGTGGTGAGAGAAGAGGAGGAGGAAGCAGTGGTGAGAGAAGAGGAGGAGGAAGCAGTGGTGAGAGAAGAGGAGGAGGAAGCAGTGGTGAGAGAAGAGGAGGAGGAAGCAGTGGTGAGAGAAGAGGAGGAGGAGGAGGAGGAAGCAGTGGTGAGAGAAGAGGAGGAAGAAGCAGCGACTCACTGACCCAGCTGTCACCACGACAGATATCGGCTCCTAAGGAAACTGTGTATGCTCTCACTACGGTGGCTGACAAGATTTCTGGCCTCAACTTCCAGGAATATGTGAGGATACTAAACATACTCTACGCTGCGAATGGCCTACCGACTTTCACCGTACCCGAGGAAGTCTACATCACCTTTACTCCAGTTACAAGTTCTACTTAGGCCTCTGACCCTGACATGACTGTGAACGCTGCCGCGCTCAAAGATTTACTGTCCACTGCTGCAATACCTGTTCCTGCAGCTACTGTGGAGGAAGCAGCCCCGGAACCGACGCCTTTAAATCCGACGAAATCTGCTGCAATTCCACCCACCATAACTGCAGCTGCCGTCGTTCCACGGACCGTGTAAACTACCACCAAACTTTCTACCCTGGCTGCTGGACCTGCTACTGCTCAACCTCTAAGGATCACCATCTCTGCTTTCGATTCATCCAGTTCGTCAGACGAAGAAGTTTCAGTTGGAGCACTATCCCCTACTCGACGGAAGTGCAACTACAGACCTGAAGATTTTCTTCTGGACACCACACCTACAAACTCGAATGACAGCACTGCTATGTCAACACGAAGCAAGACTACCATGAAGCCCAAGAAGACCAACGATCCAAACTTGATGGAAAATGCCAGAAGAAAGAAGAAACAGGAGCTCTGAAGTCGGAAGCCTGATGAATGATGACCCAAAACTGAAGTAAAAACCACCAATTACCAACAATTACCACCAACTGCCCAACCCGTCCTCTTAAAATTAACGTCATTTTTCGCCCGTATGCGCGCTATGGCCAAAAATGGACGTAATTTTAAATGAAATCGGCTCACGAAAGTGATCTATTGTTCCGTTTTCTGTTCGAGTCCTCCGGCTTACTCGGAAAGGTTAGGCAAGGAAACTTTCAATTAAGATTTTTCATGACGTTTTGAAACTTAAGGAGAATTTCCTGCCCACCTAACTTACCAGAGGACCCTTAACTTACTGTTTTGAGAAAAAACAATCCAAAATTTATTTTTCATTTTTTTGTATTTTGAAATTACATCCATTTTCGGCCATACGGACTAACAGCTAAAAGTGACGTTATTTTTAAGAACTTTATAAATTTTCTTAACAAAATGTCCAATATAATAAACCATATATAATGAAACGAAAAACAAGGATTACTAATATATTAACATGGTTACAGGGCCAATAACAAGGAACCCTTGTGTTATGGTCATCCGTAAGTGTTTCAAATTTCAAGTAAATGAGATGAAGCTTAAATTACCTCATTGGAGTAGAAAATATAACAAAAAGATATGTAATATCTTTATATATCCATCTGGTTGCAATAGGGATACCATGCTCAATTTAAATTACAGTCATACATCTTGGCTCACACCTGGTAGCCTAGTGGTAACCTGGTGGATAGAACGCAGGACTCTTAATTCTGTGGCGCGGGTTCGATTCCCGCACCAGGCATAAACAAATGGGCAAAGTTTCTTTCACTCTGAATGCCCCTGTTACCTAGCAGTAGTTACGTACCTGGGAGTTAGTTTGCTGTCACGGGCTGCTTCCTGGGGTGTGTGTGGTGTGGAAAAAAGTAGTTAGTAAACAGTTGATTGACAGTTGAGAGGCGGGCCTAAAGAGCAAAGCTCAACCCCCCACAAACACAACTAGGTGAATAAACGTTAGTATTTAAAAGTTTTGAGTGGATAGCATTAGGCGTTCTCGATGTAATGAAAAAAACCTGATATATAAGGGGAAAAAAACACAAATATGACAAAGGTATAAGAAATCCTTAGTGAAGGTATGCAAATAGTAGCATGTTTTACATCTTGAACATGAGATGGGTAAGTTAGCTATGGGCAACGAAGCTCAGCCTAGTGAGAGATCATCATTTACAAGCTTCAGCATTAAATTTTAAGTAATTTTACCTAAGCAGAAGCCTAAGATTCATGACAACTCCCCCCCCCCCCCCCCGCCTAACAGTTCGAAACTGGTGCTAATTAGTCTGAGTTACCGTCAATAATATGGTGTTATCTTGAGATGATTTCGGGGCTTTTAGTGTCCCCGCGGCCCGGTCCTCGACCAGGCCTCCACCCCCAGGAAGCAGCCCGTGACAGCTGACTAACACCCAGGTACCTATTTTACTGCTAGGTAACAGGGGCATAGGGTGAAAGAAACTCTGCCCATTGTTTTCTCGCCGGCGCCTGGGATCGAACCCAGGACCACAGGATCACAAGTCCAGCGTGCTGTCCACTCGGCCGACCGGCTCCCTCTGGTGTATTTAAAACACCAAAATTTTGATTCGTATTCAAATGTGAGGACAGGTTACATGCTTACGTTATTTGTTATTTTTTTTAGTTAATTACCAAAGGAAAATTGCCCACTAAAACTACCATAACTTCGGAAAGTTAATATTTCGCCCAGGTTAAACACCGTTCCGTGGACAGTTCTAGAATGATAGGAAATCGATGGAACCAGGTACTATATAAAGTGGTAGTTAATTGAAGCAGATGGTTGTGTGAGTGACCGAGCCACCAGTCCTCGTTGGTGAGTGGTGGATGGGTCGGGGGGAGTGTGCGCGTGTGTAAGTCTCAACTTATATACTGGTGTGAAGTCCGTGGGTAGTGTGTAGGGTGACTGACCTTGCAGCGAGTCCTGTGGCAGGTGATGTGGCCCTCCCGGCAGGTGCACAAAGTAAGTAAGTAATTATCAAAAGAAGGCACCAAACCGGGAAGGCTATGTAGCACCATCAAAGACGCAAAATAATCAGAGGGCGCTAAATATCACCAAGGATGCCAATACGAGAACAAAAACGCATAAGGCGAACGATATCAAAAGTATCCGAGTCACCAAGAATTCTATCGAGGGACAGGTGACCGCGAGGGGCGGTCGGAAAGCAAGACACACGCTCGTCCTGGAAGTCAGGACATTCAAGAAGGACATGCACGACCGTAAGAGGGACAATGCAACTAGGACAATAAGGAGCAGGGCGGCGCTCCATCAAGTGACCATGGGTTAAGCGAGTATGGCCAAGACGCAACCTCGCCAGAGCTGTTTCCCACCGCCGGTTACGGTGGAAGGAGGACGGCCACGAGGAAACACAACATTTAAGAGTACGTAGCTTGTTACCAGTAACAGACAACCAAGAAGCCTGCCAACGGGTAAGAACTGAGGAATGGATAACTGGGTAAAAGTCGGAATACGGAATGCCTTTACGAGAGATGGGACAAGAGCGGACAGCTTCCTTAGCGGCAGCATCCGCACGCTCATTTAAAGACACACCAATATGGCTGGGAACCCAACAAAACTCAACCGACTTAAATTTACTGTGAACGAGAAACAGCCAATGCTGGATCTCGACAACTACCGGATGAACCGGATTAAAGGACCCGAGAGCCATGAGGGCACTACGAGAGTCAACAACAACCACAAAGGAAGACTGACAACGAGAAAGCAGGAGACGAAGAGCATAGAGAATAGCATAAAGTTCTGCTGTAAAGATGCTAGTCTCCGGAGGCAAGCGACACATATAAGTGCGATCAGGAAAAACAACAGAGTAGCCAACACCGTCCGCTGACTTAGACCCATCGGTGAAGACAGAAACGGAGCGGGAGTGAGAAGAAAAGTGCTCGAGGAAAAGGCGTTTGAGAACCGTAGGAGGGGTAAAAGCTTTAGTGATACGGGTCAAGGAAGTACAAAACCGCGGAAGAGGGACCCTCCACGGGGGCAAAGAAGGAACAACACGAGGAGAAACATCAGAAATACGAACGGAGAGAGAATCCTGTAGGCGAGATAACCGGACAGAAAGAGGGAGGTGGTGAAGAGGAACAGGAACCGCAGGAGGGGTAAAAGTTAAAGCACGACAGAGGCGAGAGGAAGGATGTTGCAAGGACCGCGCAAGATAGCGAAGACAGTAGCGATCACGGCGGTCCTGGAGAGACAGGAAGCCAGTGTCAACATACAAGCTAAGGATGGGAGTCGAACGAAAGGCACCAGAACTGAGGCGCAACCCAGTATGGTGCAAAGCATCAAGACGGCGAAGAGTAGAAGGAGAAGCAGACGAGTAAGCAGGGCAACCATAATCGAGCTTAGACAGGACGAGAGAGGAATGTAAAGCAAGGAGTGCGCGCCTATCTGCCCCCAAGAAGTATGGGACAAGACCCGAAGGAGGGTAAGGGCCTTAGAGCACTCAACACGGAGGTAAGAGATATGGGGAGACCAAGACAAACGAGTGTCAAGGAATAACCCCAAAAGCTTCGCGGAATCTTTGTATTCAAGGGGATGACCATAAAGCGACAAAGAGGGACGAAGAACAACCCGTTTCCGCGTAAAAGTCATGGCACAAGTCTTAGAAGTAGAGAACTTGAAGCCATGACCTGTGGCCCAAGACGACACGGCATCAATTGCAAGTTGAAGCCGGCGTTGAAGGAGAGGCGAATCATCACCCTGACAACAAAGGGTAAGATCATCGACATAGAGAGCGGAGAAGACACCAGAAGGAAGAGAGGAAAGAAGACCATTGAGGGCAACAAGAAAAAGAGTAGTGCTCAGAACACTACCCTGGGGCACACCTTCGTATTGCTGAAAAGAGGGAGAGAGAGCGGTACCAAGGCGCACCCGAAAGGAACGACGAGAGAGGAAGCTGCGGAGAAAGAGAGGGAGATGACCACGAAGGCCAAAAGAATGAAGTTGAGATAGGATATGATAACGCCAAGTGGTGTCGTAAGCCTTTTCTAGGTCAAAAAGGACGGCAACAACGGAGGTCTTCGCAGCAAAAGCAGTACGAATATAGACCTCCAAGTTCACCAGGACATCTGTCGTGCTGCGGCACTTGCGGAAACCAAATTGAGAAGGGGAGAGGAGGTGATGGTGTTCCAGGAACCACATCAGACGAACGTTAACCATACGTTCAAAGAGTTTGCAGACACAACTTGTGAGAGCAATAGGGCGAAAGTCCTTAGGGGAAGTACCCAGAGACCCCGGTTTGCGAACAGGGAGGACAACGGCATCGAGCCAGTCCGCAGGGACTGACGACGACTCCCAGATCCGATTATACAGACTCAGTAAATACTGAGACGTGCTCGGAGGGAGATGGCGAAGCATCTCATAATGAATACCATCGGAGCCCGCCGCCGTAGAACCGCAGAGGGCCAGGGCAGAACGAAGTTCAGAGAGAGAGAAGGGATCATTATAGGGAAGCTGAAGATGAGTGCAGAAATCTAAAGGACGAGACTCAAGGACAGGTTTACGAAGAAGGAAAGATTGGGGAAGATGAAGACCAGAGCTAACAGAAGAAAAATGGGAACCCAGTTCGGAAGCGACCTGCAACGGGTCCGCCACAAGAGTATCATGGAGGTGAAGGACCGGTGAAACATCGGGAACGAACTTACCCGCTATCTTGCGGATACGCTTCCAGATCTGGGCCAGAGGGGTCTCGGACGTAATTGTCGAGACATAAGATGCCCAACATTCACGTTTAGCCGTACGGATGGCCCTACGGGCCACCGCACTCGCTTTCCGAAAGAAAAGAAAAGAATCGGACGTCTGCCTACGGCGGTGCCTCTTCCAGGCTGCACGCTTACAGCGGACAGCCCGAGCACAGTCCGCATTCCACCAGGGAACGCACTTCCGTGGACCCCGAGAGGAAGAGCGAGGAATAGAGCGGAGGGCAGCGTTGAAGACAGTGTCATGAAAAAGGAGGAGAGCGCGAGAGAGAGGCAGAAGGGAGAGGTCAGGGAGAGCAGCACTGAGGGTAAATAGGGTCCAGTCTGCCTTAGCAAACTGCCACCTAGGGAAAGAGAGGGAAGGGCGAAAAGAGAAAAAGGAAACAAGGATGGGGAAATGATCACTTCCATGGAGGTCATCAAGAACCTGCCACGTGAAATCTAAGTAAAGAGAAGAAGAGCAGAGAGAAAGATCAAGACAAGAAAGGGTGCGAGTCCGAGAGTCCAAATGAGTGGGCTCACCAGAATTCAGAAGAGACAGGGAAGAAGAGAGGAGAAACGGCTCAAGGAGGCGACCCCGGGTATTCGTCAGAACGTCACCCCAAAGAGAATGACGACAATTGAAGTCACCCAGCAGGAGCACAGGCTCCGGCAAGGAGTCCAGGAGGTGTTTCAAATCAGGAAGAGAGAGCGGGACACTCGGGGGGAGATAAATGGAACAAACTGTGTACCATTTCCCCACAAAGATACGAGCAGCAGAACAATGGAGAGGCGAAGGAAAAAGTAAAGGAACAAAGGGAACATCAGCCCGAATCAAAAGAGCAGAAGAATTAGAAGCCCCAGCAATGGCTGGGGGGGGGGGGGAGAGAAAGGAATAGCCACGAAAACGACCAGGACGAGCACCAAGCATTGGCTCCTGGAGACAGACACAAAGGGGCGAAAACCGCGAAATCAGAAGTTGGAGTTCGAGGAAATTGGCGTAATAACCTCGAACGTTCCATTGAAGAATGGACAACGACGAGAAGAGAAAGGACAAAAACAGAGAACAAGGAAGAAACAAAGGCGAAAGAGCAACAGAGCACGTTAAAGAATATCAGGGTCGGGATCAGGGTCAGCAAAGTCAGGGTTAGGGGGCATGGGTAAACTGAGCAAAGACGGAGGGAAGGAAACGGGAGAACAGAGCAGAGGTGGGCGGGCAGGGTCTGGAGGAGGAGGAGGAAGAGGAGGAGACAACGGAGAGGAGCCGTCAAGGACAGCAGCAGGAGGAGGGGGAGTAGAAAGAGGGGAGTGCACCCCAGCAAGAGCAGCAACCGAAAGGGAAGCAGGGGCCAAAGAAACCTCCATAGCAGGAACAGGGGGCGCAAGCACTGAAACGGGAGGGGAAGGAGCAACAGAGCCAGAAGGAGGAGCTGAGGAAGAAAGCGAAGCCTTCTTACCCGCCGGGGAAGAGGAAGGAGAGGAGCCAGGCTTACGCTTCTGACTTAAAGAGACCGGTGTCCCAGCAACTACGTACCGGGCAACGGATTCCAGTGTCTCAACAGGAGAAGCCGAACGAGAGCACACACGACGACCGTTAGGAGAGCGATGGACATCCGCCCGCACCGACAGGCGGTGGGGAGAGCCAATAGATGGAGGAAGAGGATGGGAAGGAGGATCGGAGGGGGACGAGGAAGAAGACACGACAGACCGGGTAGAAGGAAGGGGAACCCCAGACAGAGGACCAGGAGGAGGACCCTTCGGGAGAGAACCCAAAGGAACGGAGGAGGGGGCAGTGGGCGCATCAGGGTCCAAGGCCCGGAAACGGTTGCGAGTCTGAGGAAGGCGGGAAGGACGTGGAGAGGAAGAGCGCAACACGCGAGCATAAGAGATATTAGCATAAGGCGGGAGCCGGCGAACCTGGCGCCTCGCCTCAGGAAAAGATAAACGCTCCCGGTGCTTCAGGTTGAGGACGGCTGCCTCAAGCTTGTAATGGACACACGCACGGGAGAAGGTAGGATGGGCCTCACCGCAGTTGAGGCAACGAGCCTGGGGAGAAGTGCACTCCGACTTAGAGTGACCTTCGCCACCACACAAAGGACAGAGAGATACAGTCCCGGAGCAGCGGAGGGCACCATGCCCAAACCTCCAGCACTTGTTGCAGAGCCGAGGAGAAGGAATGTACTCCTGGACAGAGCACCTGGCACCAGCAAGAATGACAGAGGGTGGAAGGGTCCTACCATCAAAGGTAATCTTCACAACCCGGA